TTAAATAAAAAGTAAAAATGTAATGTTTCAGCCTCTTTTTAATTTTTTAAAATAATGTTTGGTAACTCTCAAAAATAAATGGGATCTTATCAGTAGTGTTAGTTGGCGGAAGTTTCCTTACTTCCGACTACTCTACAAAAAAAGTGACCAATCGATTTTATCAAAACGGTAATAATTACTAATTATAATAAATATATGATATTATCCACAGTAGGCACTCAAATAAAGGAGGCGAAAGAAATTACATATTTTTACGCTAATAACTAAAAACAGTGAAAAAGCACGTTTATTTGAGGTAAACGATTAAAAGAAAATTCTAGTACTCATTATAAACATAGGTATTATATGCAAAGCTTCCGGTTAAGATAGTAATAAATATTGAACTACTTATTCAAAACAGATTAGCTAATAACTAGTTACAAATGCTTGTAAATATTAAGGCGAAAGAAGAATAAACTCAGAAATTAGCAAATATTATGTTCTCAAGCGCAATGGAAGAATTTTCATCACATTTATATGGTTTACTGTATAATAATTTGATGTTCTAAATAAGATAATTATTATCTTTTATTTTTACCGGATGTTAATTGATCTAACATAATAATAATTAGGAAATGTAGGTCACCATCCCAGTTACATATTTCTTTCTTATTTCTTCCTATCGATTCGAAATTATTTCCATGAGTGAAATTCAAGTGCTGCCATCTACAATAATTTATATGAAACACTTTTTGAGATAACGGATTAAAAATGTTTTTATTCCTTCGTCAAACATTTAAATTTATAACCAACCTTGTTATAAAATTTAAGATTTTTGTATCTGTTTCCTGCGTTAAAATAATCGTCAAATATTGGTAATTTCCAAACAATAACTAGTGAGAAACTAAAATAAACATCACAGAAAGGCGCTAACTCGATAAGTACAATTTGTAGCTACCCCTGAGCGAACTTGCACGAATGCTTTAAAATTATTCGGTAATTCCCTTTGGCACCTTGGAGCAAACAGGTACCAATACAAAAATAACTCCCCCCCCCCAAAAAAAAAAATAAAAAAATCATGATTAATAAGGAAAAATATTACTGGTGTGAATTTTCGTGTTTCACTTTTTAAGAAAAAATTAGGAAACAGATTATAAAACTGATTTTAACAATAATTTTTTTTCAGTTGCTAAATAATCATTCTCTCTGTTCTGATGTTTTATGAAAAAATTAACTTGAAAAAAATATTAAATTTGTCTCTATTTACTTTTACAATTTCTTTCTTTTTTTTTCTTCCTTTTCTTCAGATATAAATAATTGTATAAGTCCATTTTTGCTTAGTATGCAGAAATTATAATCTATCTCGACGGCTTTAACCCTCTGAGCCTTTTCTTTAACTTTTTCCGAACTGAAAGATGTAGGCTTTCTTGTATTAACCCATACCAAAATAGGAAAGTAGGAGAAATTTTATTACAACTTTGCCCAGGAGTCGACATGTAGAGGGCTGACTAATGATTTTATAGAGTTGAAGAAAATGCTTATTTTTAAATTTCTGATTGCAATTTCAATTTGTTGTTTTGATAGATGGAGTTAAAGGTATGGCTCTTGTTGGTGCTGCTGCTGTTTTTGGTGGTGCTACGGCCATTGTTGTTGGAACTTTAGTTGCTGGTGCTGCTTTAGGTTTTGCTTTGAAGCGACGATACAAGTGATATGTATTCAAGTAAATATTTTTGTTAAAACATATTTTTAAGAAAACAAGTAGTATAAAATTTGTAATAAAGTGAAAAAAGTATAACTTTATCATTTATAACATGATGTGTATATCACATGGGAGTGCACAAGTATTTTGGGAACTTTTTAATGTGAAATGTTTTGAAAAATTTCAGGGTTACAAAAAAGCTGCCCTTTTTTTGAAGAATTCCAGGCCGGCCGGTTTTTATTAAAAAGCCTGGCTTGGTTTTGTTGGTTTTTTTTATTTTATTATTCACAATTAATATGTGTGACATTAAATTCAATATCATGATTACTATTCAGTAGAAAATGTACTAAATATTGCTAAGCTAAAATTTGCTATAAAATTATTATAAAGCATTAGGTGTCTTAAAACTACATCAAAATAGTTTTTTGTATTGTTTAGTTTCTATTTGAAACAAGATACAGAATATTATGTTTAATAAGCGCAGAAAGAGCGAAATATATATATTTTTGCAATTTATAACATTAAAAGTAAATTCATAATAAAAAATTTGTTCATTTAAATTTTTACTTACAATTTTCGTTTAGCATTAATGATATCTTTCTACATTATTTTTGGAAGTTGAAATTTTATTTTGAATTCCTCCAAAAATACTTTGAAAGACCTTTCTCTAAAAGGTACCCAACATGACCTCATCCGAACAAGATATGGTCCTGGTTTTGCAAGCATTTGCTAAAATTGATCTTAAAAGAGATCCATATAATAAAGTTTTTGTTTTTTTATGAGTGGTTCTCCTTTGTATTTCCATTGTAATATTTTTCCTGATGTTGATTACAGAGTCCAAGTAAACAAAATTTTCAACAACCTCAAATTTATATATTTCAATTTCTAAGTGGGTGTTATGTAATTTGAAATTATTCTTTACACTTCTAAAGTTAAAATCCATTTCTTCAAACTAACAAGTTTCAAAAGTGCAAAACTGTAGTTTCATATCGTTCCTAATATCCGCACCACAGTAACTTGTTAACAACGTTATGCTTATTTCATATAATCTCTGTTTTTTAATTTTTTTCAATGAAAGTTAGCTTTTTTTATTTTAGCCTGTCTTTTTTTAATGGTTTAAACTAAAAAAATCCTGACCATCTTTTTTGGACCTGTATTGGATTAGATTAAACTAGAAAAGCCATTAATTAATTTGTCAGCATTTTTTTAAAATTTGAAAAAGATTCTAAAACAACCAACCTAACCAGTAAATGTAAGTAAAATTGTAAAAAAAAATTATGCAATTTAAATCTTTCTTTTAAAAAAAAAAAAATAAAATATTGAAACTTTTCCCCACAAAAAATTCAATATTTCAGAATCTCTTACTGATTCTTTGAATTAATGTAGTGTGATATTGTTTGAGTGCTTGTTTTATGTAAAAATGCTTTTTGTTGTTGTAGAAATTGCAATTTTGATGAATTTTAAATTAAAATCCTAACCTGTAAATATTAGCCAATTAATATCACCCATATAATTGTTTTTTAAAAATGAGAATTTTGTTTAATATAGAATAAAATTCTGCCCAAATTGTGGTCTTTTGCTATTGATACTTACTAACTTGCTATTAATACTAATACTTGCTATTAATACTTACTACATTTAATTTGTATGTTAATTAACTTTCTACTTTTTTAATTATTAATTATAATTTTAGTATTCTTTGTTCCTTAGCAATTTTTAAGTATTCTTGAGAAAGATCACTTATCTAATAAATTTTATTGCAGTCTAATGACATAACAAAAATACTCTTGGTTTCAACTATTACAAATTTACTTGAAACCTAAGAAAATATATTGTAGTTATTTTTACCCATATAACTTACATTTTTTAAAACAGGTTATTTCATATTTTTTTAGTACTTTACTCTGCTAAGTATTAATATTTTATTTAAACAGTATTTAACTGTGTTCACAAAAAGTTTTATAGCATAGTTGAAAACATTGTTTTTGCTGAAGTTTGTTTTGTAAAAATGTATATATTTTTTCAGATTTCTTACTTATATATTGTTATACGTCGTGCTTCATTACATAATATGAAATTTTTTTTTAATTCATCATGTCTAAAAACTAACTATTTACACAAAAATTTTATAAATGAGAGTTCAAAGTAATGCAAAGAAAAAATTAATTCCTGAAGACTGCTTACTTTTGTAACATTTTAATTTTTTAAACTTAAAAACTGTAATAAATATTAATTTAAAAAAAAATTCGATAATTTATTTCACTTTAATGTTTATGAAAAGAAAAAGATTCGTAATTTTACTGTATATATTAAGTATTATCATATTCTACTATTCATAATGTATATATTCTTTGCTTCTTTTTAACTGACAATCAGATTGTATGTTTATGTCCAGTGAAATTGATACAATTATTTGCTATGTAGTGTAACAATTTTAATTGAATTTAGTTGGAAATTGTGATATTGTAAATTGTTGGAAGAACTGAAGAAGTTAGTTTTTCTATGCTTTGTAATGTTATGCAGTTTAAATTAAATAAATTTAAATGGTAAATTGCATGTTTTTTGTGTGGATATTTAGCTATTTATTTTATTTAATTCAAATATTATTTTCAGTATTAGCTCAAAAATTATAGTCCTACATGCATGCATATAGTTCTGATTTGGCTCTATGAAGCACCCACTGAAACTTTAACCAAGATGATACCTAGGAAAAAGAAAACAAAATAAAATTTATTATATTTGATGGGACCAAATTGATTCTGAGAAAATTACCTAAATAAATGATAATTTTTAAATATAAATATTTTTTTATTTGACTAGTCCTATTTATTTCTGTGTTTAAAAAATGTCTATGCAGGCAATATTTTTATATGTAAAGCTGGGTTCATAGTTGTCTTGATATTCCTGATAAAAATATTTTCTTTAATGTTCCGGATTTTTGTTCTTGTTCAGAATATCTCATTTTCTTGGAATAAGTTTTTTAAAGTAATCAGTTTAAGAAAGATTTGGATTTTCGAGTCATAAGTTTAATTATTTCAACAAATTTTGAAGGGTGGAGTTTTGTAGTTTCACAGTTATTGATTCCTCTTTCATGTGATTTAAAATTGAGTGATACCAATCAACTATGTAGTAATCATGGAATTTCTAAAAGATAAATCCTGTACTTATTACTTTTATACAAAAATGATAGCATATTCACAGTGCTTTCGTTTTGAGATTATTGATCCAGTTGATTTTCATACATTAAATATTAATATAAAAATATTTAAAATTCTCTACACGAACATTCCTTTTTTTCAATGAATACGGGTAGCGACTAGCTGTAATCTGGAAAATATGGTCCAAATAATTTAGACAAGAAAGCAGTCAAAAGTTTTAAGCCTTTAATGAAATTTTTTTTCCGTGTGTTTTGCTAACTTGAATAATTTGTAAAAATATATATGCCTGACAATTCAAAAATGTTTTGATTCACTTAAAAACTTACGGAGATATAGGAATTAAAGCAAAAAATAAAATTCACATCAAGGGGCCCAAACTTTTGACTGCTCTCCCACCTAAACTCTTGGGATGACATTTTGTGTCTAATTCCATCACCTTCACTAATCTTATGAATTAATAGGAGACAATTAAGGTTATGCCATCGAACCATTGAGATTGAGTCTTTTAGTACTTGATAGTCTGATCATTAGATGAAAAGTTATTCAAGGTGTTTACTTTTTTCTTGTCAAATGAAATTCCTAATTTTACTAAGTCACAAATGCATGCAGACATATGTACACCAATTTGAGGACCCAATTATTGCTTTTTCAATAAACTGTATAATTTGGAAAATGAGGCCGAAATAAAAAAAGTTAAATATTTAGAGCTCCCTGCAGTAAAAATATTTTATATTTCATTTAAACAGGAATAGAGATCGTTTGCTTCCCAATGAGGCAACCCATATTGGTATTGCAACGGTGGTTGGTTGATACGAACACTGCTCATGCTGACATTCCTTGCCATTTAACGCTAAATGCAGGTTAGTTACATCCAAAAGTCCTCTATAAAGTTAGTTCGTCCCATTGCTTGATCCAGGAGTTCCCTTGTCTCTTGTGTTGGGTTCAAAATTACAAGGCTACGGCGTTGAACATTGATGACTGTAAACCCAGAATTGGGTTGGCTGTTCAACACCGGTTATAAAATAAAAAACGAAACAGGAATATAGAAGTAACAATTTAAAAAGTATAGGATCTTTTTAGAATAGGAAAATAGGCCATCTAAAATTATCGCTTTTATAATCAATTAATAACTTCTTACCTTTATTAATATCTTACCTCAAGTATTGATTTTATCAAAAAAATTAAAAAGATTCTAGTAATAGATTACTAATATCAAAACAAGAAATTTTATCTTTTCATTTACTGGATAAAAATTATGTACTTAAAAATACTATTAAATCTCTTTAAAATTATTTTTTTATAACACATTTCCTTTGGTAATTTTCAACTTTTTGTGACCAGCATCTATCAGAGCCCCGAGGTGCTTGCATTTCAGTTCGTTTTATTCCAGTTATCAGACTCATTAATCATTGACTTCATACTCTTTCAGGTCAAAGAGTTTATCAGGTTTCATTTGTGGTACATTTTTTCTCCTGGGCTTTGTATTTATGACACCTTATACATTTTTTTCTTCTTTCATTTCTTGAATATTGCCAACATCTAACTTTCCTGTTTACGCTTCTTCCTTGTGGTCTTCAGGCTTATTAATGATCTTTCAAATGTGATTTTTCTATTAACTGAGAAACCTCTTTTAACTGATGTCTGTTCTTGGGAAAACGCATGATAGGCTTTCTCAAGTAAAAATAGATAACAGTATCGGGGGAAGATTCTGATTACCTTCCAATTCAAAAACTTAGCTCCAAAGATAATCAATGGGCTTCATGTCATCTGTCACTTTTTCAACAGAAAGTTTCTATTATTACTTGAGGAATATATTTTGTAGACTATCTAATGACAGGCAGTGTAGATTTTACAAATTCTTTACACATTATGGGATGTAAAATCTGTAAGTTTTGCAACATTATGATTTTTAAAAGTAAATTCTCTAAAAAAAAATGAGTAATTACAATATAAAATTGTTTTGCCTTTACAGGGTTGCCACAGAAAAAAATGAGCAAAATAGTTGCTTTTAGTAGCCTGAAGCATGAAAATAGTTGCCTAAATAAAAACAAATTCTTCAATAATATAACTAAAATTTTATTATATGACTTAATTATCATATACCATGATCTATTTACAAGGTATCTTCTACATTTTAGATTTTCAAATTCATGACTTAAGGAAGTTACTATTTTCTCCCGACAAAAACAGAACAATAAATTTAAAAGGAATTATAATAACATTTATTGAAATGATAGGTATAACCAAAACAGTTATACTCTGCATCTTCATATTTATAGATTTTGAATTTAAAAAACAGAGAAAAGAAAGAGTTGAAACAAATACAAAAAATTGATTTTCTTTTTTTCTGCAAAATTATAATCTAAAGATAATTTTTGATTCAATAAAATTTTGATTTGAATTAAAGATAATTCCAGATGAACAATTTTTTTGTTCATCTGGAAGGAAAGAAATACTCTGATTTTTCTGTTCTCATTTTGGAATTAAAAAAAATTCGCCAATGACTGGCTTGCTGCAGCTAGAATTTTAAAATGATAAAATAAAAACGATAATAACAAAAATTCTAAAATCACAGAAGTTAAAAAGATAATTCGCTCTAGAAATGATGTTTTTTCTTTCATTTTTGGAAAGAACACCAAGAAAGTAATTTTTAAAGAACATGATAAAAAAAACATTTTATATTTCAATAAAATATGGCTGTGAGTGGGGAGGACAAATTCAGATATTCGGAACACCATGAAATTGGGGGGAGGGATAAAATCCATTCTGAAAATTAGACTTTTCGGTGACTTATATCCATGACTTCCATTATTTTTTTTAAAAAATAGTTAAAATCATGAGATTTCATGACAAATCTCACGATTTTAACCAAAACCGTTCCATACCGAAATTCATGACTTTCCAGGTGTGCGGATACCCTGCATTTAATCAAATTGGTTGCAAATATGATAATTTTTATAAAAACGTTAGTGTTCTAGCATTAAATTTTCATATAAAAAATTAGTATATTTTTAGACAAAAAAACTTTTTCAATAAAAAAAATATACTTTGTCTAAAAAATTGTCCCTTTTTATCAATAATTGATTTAGCAAATATATATATATTGTGAAAAGTGATTACTCAAATTTGAAATTCAAGCATCGTAAATATTGTATTAAAAATTGGGTATTTTAAAATCGTGCAGAATTTCGTATCAATAACCATTGAAAAGGCGATCTAGAAACAAAACAAACTTACAATGGAATCTGTGCAAATTGAGTTAAAAAGTGATGACTCAAATTTCCAATTGAAAATTTAAAACATTTTTTATTTTTTAAGAAAAAAGAATTCATTGTGTTCAGAAGCTCTTGCAGGCCGCAGCTTGTTATCCCAATTTATGCTAAAAAAAAAACATAGCTAGGAGAAGAGAAAAGTCTTCTTTTCTTGAAAATAGTTGCTTTTTAATACTTTCGGGCAAAAAAAGTTGCCTCATGCCAAAAATAGTTACAAATAGTCGCCTGTGGCAACCCTGCTTTACTAAAAAATCTGCTTATGAATTTTGACTAAGATCTCCAATATCAATATTTCAGAAAAATTAGGATTTATAGGACTATATTTTAGTAATATAGAACAATATAGGATGTTTTCTAAGGTTTTAAAAAAAGTATATTTTAATGGAAGTCTTAGACCACTATTTAAATGGAAGAAACAAGTGTCACAGTTAAATATTTAAAATATATATTTTTTGTTTTTATTACGACCATTTTTCAACCATGTATACTTTGAATGCAGTACCAATTTGTGATTATATTTAATTATTCAAGTCATTAATTAAAATACCATATTTTAAAAATAAAATGGGAATTATTAATTTTTAACCTATCATCGAAAAATAGCTACCTTTTTTATACCTTTTAACATCATTATCAAAAAATCAATATAGATGTATAAATTTAAAGATTATTCTCTTTAACTTAGTGTTTGAAAAACATATTTAAGAAAAAAAGAATGAACATAGCTGCCTAAATTTTCCTCACGTCTTTAAATCAAACTAATACTTGATCTCATTCATGAAAGATTACATTTTGATATGAATAGGTATTCTAAAAGAAGTATTTAAGAAGAAAAAAAATTCCCATAAAATCTTTATTCAAAGTATCGAAATAAAATCTAAAAATTACATTTCATACATAAATTTCATTATGTAAGAACTATTTTCACACAGTATACATAAAGTTTTATTTGATATAGATTTCTCACAAAATTATTAATAAGAAAGCAAAATATACTACATTTGTATTAATATACCACTGGTTATTAAAAAAAAAAATCCATTAGGCAAAATATTAATTTTACTCAAAAATTAAATAAAATAAACTGGGGCTATGTATATGCACCAGAAAATATATATGAAAACATGTTACAGTTAAATGAGCATTTAAATGTAAAATAAAAATTAAGTTTATTGCATGAAATATTGTTTTGAATACATTATTTACAGTTTTAATCCTTTGGACAACTTTTTCATAATTTTAATATGATTTTATCACTTTCAACTATTTTTAAAGTACTTTCTCTACAGTTGCATACATATTTTATTTAATAGCAAACACGCAAATGTTTTTAAATATAAATATATTTACAAAATTTAATGCATATTGATAAATAAAAACTATTGATGGTTCATAGGTAAAAAAACAAATTAAATAATTAAAAAAATCTTTTAACAATAAGGAAGTCTTAAGAATGTGCTAATACTATATTTAAACAGATTGTAAAATTGAAGTACATTTTGATAACAAAATAAAAAAAATTGTAAATAAAAGGACAAAGTATCTCTCATTAAAAAAATATAGATTAGTTCTTGAATAAATAGCAAAAAAAAGAAAAGCACAATAAAAGAATTCACACACTGATTATTTTTTTAGTTGAGAAAAATAAATTCCACAATTCTTATTTTAAAACTTGAAGTTATTATTTTATTAACAAGTCGAAGGAAGATTTAAAAATTGGAAGAGGAAGAAGTGCTATCAGTCTGTGATGACTGGGAACTGGTAGGAGAATGAGGAAATGTTGAATTTTTGTCATAATTGAGAATTCTACGATGGCACTGTCTGATGTACTGTTGTTGACGAAGATACATTTTTAATACTCCTTTCACAGCAATAAAAGTTATTCCACCCTAAAAATTCAAAAAAAAAAAAAAAAAAAAAAAAAAAAAAATAATAGAATCATTTGTATTATTTAAGTTATATATCCATCCCTAAAGATAAAAGCACTATAATTCCAAGCTTGATTGATTTTTTTCCAAAAAGTAAGTGCTCTTACTGTTTTTTTATTTTAATTCAGATTAATAAGGAGACAAATAAATAAAACTGTTAATATATACACATATTTTATTAATTATAAATTAATATTTTACACATAATTATTGAAATTAAAAATGAATAAGAAATAAGGTGAAAAAACATAAATTAAGACTTTTGTTTTATTTATTTAAATTTGCTTATAATAGATACATGAAAGCTTATTTCTTTGGCATTACTAACATATTTGTTTACAAACATTGTCATGGTTTAAAGTGAATAATTTAATTAATAAATTATAAAAATTTCTCTTAAAAAATAAACAATTATACACTGAGAAATTATTTTTAGATAATTAAAATGGAAGAAAAACCACTAGACTACTAAATACACTTTTGCATAATTAGTAAGTTAAAAAGAAAAATAACCCAATCAAGTTTGTTTCGACCTACCTTAATCTTTGAAAGAATGATAAAATTGAACAGAAATTTGAGAATTCAAATTAAATATAGATATGAAATAATAATTTTTTAAAAAAAATTAAGATTCTTTTATTTATTTAAAATTTTCTTAGTAATAGATATATGAAAGTTAATTTCTTTTAAATTACAAATACAATAGTTTACAAACATAGTCATAGTTTAAATTGAATCATTTAATTAATAAATTACAAAAATTTCTCTTAAAAAAAGACAATTCTGAACTGAAAATTTTTTAAATAAATAAAATTACTCAATCAAGTTTGTTTTCATTTGCCTTAATCTATGAATGAATTATAAAACTGAATAGAAAATGGAGAATTCTAAAATTACAAATACCAAGCAACTTATAATTTTTTTTTTTAACTTAAAGAACATTTTTAATTTTGTTTTAACATAGTATATTATAAGTAAAACTAAATTTGATTTGAAATAACACAAAATTGAGGTTGTACACAAAATTTTAACTTAAGAGGATAAAATTAATATTGCACTTTAATTTCAAAATATTACTAAGAAAGTTTTTAAATCTAGATGTTTCCTTAAAATTTTCAAATTATTTTTAGTAGTTGCAAATATGTTAAGAGTTTTCAACTTGACTACTGAAAAGGATTTATTGAAGACTATTTTACTAATAAAAGATCTAATTTATTTTTTCCACCGTAAAGGTTAGTTGAACCTTCAATTACCATATTAACTGAGTTTTTCTTAAAAACAAATTGGTCTTTCAAGATCTAATTTTCTTACAAACTTGCTCAAATGTATTTGCCATCTATTAGTTTTGATTAAATATCTTTTTTTAAAAAAAGAACTTCATTAGGTTACAGAAAATAGTGCTTGATAGTTTTTTAGAACTTACATATATCTTTTCTCCTAAATATAAAGTGATAAAATTACGTAGGCTAGTTATTTACAATGGGTATCAGCATTGCACTTTTACCAGCATTCAGATTTTTTAAAATTTACTTTATCAATTGTTTAAATAGATGAAAACTGATCTTGATGATGCAAAAAAAAATCTCTTCCACTAAATTACGAAAACATCAAGATATTCATCAACATCTAAAAGAAGGCAAATGTTTAATACTTAGCTACCTTTAAAAAAAAAGACCATTCACAGAATTTTATTAGTACAATTTTAAGAGGAGAAAATTAGTTACGATTCTACAATAAGACTAGCTATTTTTTCCCTTTTTAATGGAGTAACAAACAATCTTGCATTTAACATGCTTCGAAGGACATTGCCAAAAAGAGTAAAGTATGCAGGCAGTATCAGTTTATTCATAACAATTAAATGAAGAGGATTAAAAGCATATTTAAATTTACTCCTGTTTCCTTCCCTTGAAAAAAGAAGAGACTTCTTAAAACTTTCATTGTGGCAATGATGCACCTTTGCCCCACCTTCTGTGCTTAGCTTCCACAGCAATATAATTGAAATAAAACTTACATTACTTTTAAACTTAATTATTTTATTTTAAAAAATAATAATGAATCGCAATCAATAATCATATTCACTATTACAGCAATAGAGCACAGCGAGTGTTCTTGGAAGATGAGATCGTCGCGATGAAAGAGTTAAAGGGCAAACTAACTTAACACTTACTATGCCGTTCATCAACAGTTTTATTGCTTCAATACCTACCAACTTTACACTCTTCAAAAATTTTATTCCTAGTGGTAATGAAATAATTATTGAAGTGACATCATAAACAATTACCAGGGTGCGTAGCCAAATCTTTGAATCAGAAATAAGCACTTTTTAAAAACTTTTCAAGCACTTTACAAAAATTTTCAAGCACTCAAAAAATTCATATTCAATCAATGATATTATTGAAAAACAAAAACTTTTTATAAACAGTTTTAGCGTTAAAAAAAACCCAAAAAGAAACGGGCGTAAATCGAAACAATCAGTACTTTCCCACATCACCGAGTGAATTCAACTTGACCCTGAACTCAGAACAAAAGTACCCTTACCCCCTACGTCAAAAAAAGTGTTAGAAGTAAAATAAAATAAACAAGAACAAAATTAAAATAAATTAAAAAGAAAAACATTTCATAAGGATCTGATATTCTCTATCCGAATTGGAGCACTCGGGTTTCGGTTTCAAGTGTGCGCGCATGCGCAAGTCATAACGTGGGTACGACATGAAGTCCGCGTGAATGATTACGTAGCAAACTCCCCATTTTTCGTGAAATGCATGGGATCCACCAGATATCACTGAAGGAAGAAGAAAAAAAATTTCGGAAAAAAAGCACTTTTTAAAAACGCCAGCTGAAAAAAGCACCTTTAAAAGCTTTTAAAAACGAAATCCCCAAAAAAGCACCTTGTACTTTTTACAAACGCTACGCACCCTGAATTACTTAATTCACTTTTTATCATCACCTAAAACACAATAAGAAAACCTATTGAAATGCAATGGTAGTTTTCGTTAAAACAGAAATCAAGCATGAAAGCAAAACTTTTGCTAACACCTTAAATATAGAAATAAAATTCTGAAGATATGAGCCTCTAACACTGATGGTACTAATTAATTTTTATTTAAATAAGTCTTCAATTTCATTGTTTAGTTCAATTTTATCACCCAAAGAAAACAAAATTTTTATCAATTTAGAGGATGTATAATAGGTGTGCACAACTTTCTTAAGAGAACACTTACACTGCATGTAGATTAACGAAGGGTCACACTCATATTTAGTTATGTTATAAGCAAACATGATAATTTTTATCTAAACATTGGTGTTCTAAGCACCAAATATTTTTATCAGTAAACTTAACATATTTGAAGAAAACTAAATACTTTTAATTCTTTGAATTTAATTAAAACTAAAAAAACTGATAAATTTTTTAAAAAATTTATTCCATTTTTCACAATAATTAATTTATTAAATATTTATATATATATATATAACATAAATATTTGGGAGGAGGGGATGTAAATTCTAACCAAAAAGAAACGTATGGAATGAAAGTGCAAAAAAGTATGCATTTTATAGAGTAATATAAATTTGAATTAAATATTTAATAAAAGAAAATTTATAATGTTCAAATAAGAACCAAATTAAAAGAAATTTGTTATTGTGTTCTGAAGTTCCCGCAGGCCGCATGTGGCCCTCAGCCCATAGGTTGTGCACCCCTAATGTATAAAAATTCTTTCTTCTGAATTAAAAAAAAAAAAAGCTTACCAGAAGAGTTCTTTGGGGATTATGAGGGATATGGTTGAAAAATATCTTTCCAAACATTGTGGCCATTGTTGGTAGAAGAAGGGCCCCACACAGGACTCTGGTTGCAGATATGGGGTCAGAAAAGGCAGGGACGTCGGGTGGCGGCCTGTCGGCAACGCTCCTGCTTTCTGGGACAGATGGACGAGCAAAGATCTTATTAAAACTGGGCAGCCTGTTCCAGTACCTTCTCCAAACTTTTAGGCAGTAATCTTCCCATCGTACCATCTTGCCTAGGATCAACATGATAGGAATAGTAGGAAGACCAACAAGCAGCACCAGTGGATCTGCTTGTTCCATTGTGTTGAGACCTTCTTTGTGTCCTAAAATCTGAAATGTTGAAATTTAAAAATTACTTAAATATAAAATCTACTTGGTATAATTATACAAAAAAAAAAGAGTGATACAGCAGATTTTGTATCTCAATTAGTTTAACAGTATGAAGTTTTTTTAACACATAGAGGTTTTCATAAAAGAAAAGCTATTATTTTTTTCTTCATTACTCAAAGTATATTTAATATTGAACTTGGGTCCCGTTCCTAGTAGCGGCTAGCTAGAAGCCAACAGATTAATAAGCCGAGTTTCAGACTAATGGGTACCAGCTTGTCCTAAAGTAAAGGCGGCCTGTGAGCAATTCTGTCTACATTGCCCTATGATGTCATTGGTCACGAAATTAAGGAGCCTTTAACTCCAGGACACTCTGGTTTACACTGGGCTATTGTAGGAATGCTTTAATTTTATACTTGATATAAACAATATTATTCTTAAAATAAAATTGCGCGAAAATTTTTTTCATAAAATTTTTTTTTCTCATATTTTTGAAAAGAGAGATTTTGATAAAAATAAGGAGCTGAGCAGAAGAAGGTTTCATGCGCAGTTGAATAGGCTATATTTGAAGTTTTTAAGCTGACAAAAGAAAAGTAAATAAGGAATATATCTCTTTTATTTCTTGTCCACAAGCTACTAATTGCAAAATTCATAAATACCTAATACTTATTTAAGCTGCTCATGCAGCATTCACACTTATTAGTGTTTTAATTTGCTGCTGAATGTGAGGATGACCCATTAACTGTTTGTTGCCAAATGCTCCTGGAATCTTCTTCCATTTTGAAAGATGTCGCTTAGGACTTTCCTTCACTAATATCTCTAAAACTTTTAGACTTAGCAAACTAAATTAACATTTTACAGTTACATAACATTAAAATATGATCTTTGTCTGAGAAATCTTAATATTGACATAAAACCTTTTTTCTCTCTCTCACTCAGTTATTCAAGAAATTTCAGAATTCAAAATCACTTTTCAAAGTTTCCTTTTGTTTTAAATAACAAATCTTAATGGGACCCATTTCATCATTATTATCTTAATCGTTATTTCACAACATATTTAGAGAAATTTTTAGAGGTCATGACCCCTCCCCCCAAATTGGAAAAAAATATTAAAATAATAATTTTTTTAATAGTTTACAAAAGAAATAAAATATTTTAAAAATTATTTAAGAGGGCACATACACTTAGGTAGGTCAAAAAAATCGATATTTTTTTCATCTAATTATGTTCTTTACCGTTTCAAGAATCATAATCCAAAAGTTTAAAACGAAATTCGTCATAGTTTCATTGTAAACATTATTTAAAGATGTTAAATACTTGAATTATTTATGTATTGTTCTATTTTTCATTATGAAAAAAATAAATGAGAAGACTAGCATTAAAAACCTCAGTTTTTTTTTCTTTAAATATTTAAAATAAAAAAAAATTATTATAAAAAAATTTATTGTAAGGGGGGGGGAAATCTGAGTGTATGACCCTCCCCAGGAAAAATTTCTGGATCCACCCCTGTACAGCTGTATTACATACAGTGGTGTTTTGTTTTTAAAATGTGCAAAAACACATTTTTTAAAACAAAATCTTATTTTTTTTTTCTAATTTAATTCAATTTCATTTTGCTGAATTATGCTGTAAAAGCTAAAACTTTAAGCAATTACATTTTCAAAAATTTTTTTTTCTAATAATATATTTCTATTTTCTCCCTAATTTTTTTTTCTTTCAATGCAATTTACAGCAATTAAAATATGAGATCAAGAAAAGAATACACATCTTAATATAAGTTTATTAGAAATAAAAATACAAATGTGTGATTTTAATGAGGAAGATGGAAAAAAAAGCTTACTTGCATAACTGTAACAGCACCATATGTTACAGCTGTCCAATAAATTGAACCTACGACAATGCCTGCAGTTGCAAGTGGGCAAAATTTATAGATAAGCCGATCTGCTACATCAAGCACAAATACAAAACGACCTAAAGAAATTAAGACTTAATGAGATTTCTACTTTTTACAATAAATTAAATTGAATTTTTTGAAAAAAAGTATGTTTAAAGAAATTGTATTATAAAAGAAACAGCAGAAGATGCTCATATTAATTTTCTGGAAAAAAATTCCCAAACTATCAATTACGTTTTTTATTTATGTTTGTATTTAATTTTATAACATAGAAATTGGTTTGCTTTAAAAGATATGAAGAGGTTTGTTTGTTTGAGATACTTGTTTTTTCTAAACTAACTTTTTTTCCTAATTTGGCTTTCAACTCTAAAAGTAAATCATTGATAGTCTCGTCTTTAGTGCACTCTGACTGCAACATGAAGTTGTATCGTCAAAAAGAGCTCCTCTCTAAATAAGAGCCTCACACAAATATTTTGAATACATTCTAATCTACTTATTTGTTTTGTTATGACATTTTTTTGTATTTCCTTGTTTGACCTTTTCCGTACTTGGTGTAAATGTTTGGCCGGTTGCTAGGAGAGGTTTTAATGGTTTTCTTCAACACTTAGCCTATGGAAAAAATTCTGTACCTCACAAAAATAGTCATAAATAGAGGTGGTCTTATATATATATATTTATAATGAAAAAAAAAATACACACAATAACTTTAGTTCAATCACTGAGAAGTTCCATTTGTTGAGACTTTTAAAACTAATTTCTAAATGCATCTTTAGAGAAAATGGAGGTGCTACATAGAGGTGGTCTTTCTTGGAAGTTTCATTGTACTTTATAAAGAGTAATATACATAACAAGTAATAACAGTAAAGTTACATAAAAGCTCATTACATAAATATGAAATCACATCACTTCTTTAAATATTCACTAATGCAAGCAACCAAACACACATAGAATCTGGTTGCTTCTAAAAAACAAATGATTTTTGTAAGAATTTTTTAAAATTTTTCGTATAAAAAGAAAGGAAATCTAGAAAATTTTCATTTCTAAATTATTTTCTCCAAATTTTCATTATTTTTAGAGATTTCCTTCATTTTTAAGCAAATTTCAACTTTTTGAGATTTCTAGTTTTTATCTTAAGCGTATGAACCCTGAGTAGCATAAAATATAACACACAAAAATTTTAATGTTGATCAAGAAATTTTTTTTTTTTTTTTTTTTTAAATCCAAAATTTATTTTCATTTTTATAATGAAACTTGAAATATATGCATTTTGAAATACGTTAAGCAAATAATTTGGTTTAAATTACAATCTATTAAAATTGATTTTCGTTTAATCTAATAGAGGACTTGGGTAATTATCACTTAGTCTAGGGGTGCACAACCTTTTTCAGTGAAGGGCCACATGCACAGCAGATTGACCAATGAAGGGCCGCAAGCCAAAGTATTTATACCGACATATTGAAAGCAATTGTTGGTGGTGATTGTTATATAAACATCATTGTTTATATAACACTAAATTCTTTTTGTCGGTTAACCTTGTAATCTCTTTGCAGAAAATACAATACTTTAAAACGTTTAAAATTAGAAAATGCAAAACTGATTACTTAAGAAGGAAAACAGAATTCGAAAATCAGAATCAATTTATCAGAAAAAATTTAGATAAATTGAAATAATTTAAAAACTATGGAAAAATTGAAATTTTTTTTATCACATTACAAAATACAAAAGTCCATTTAAACATAGATTTTAACGTTAAATTTTTTCTTCATAGAATTAAATTTCAAATAAATAAATATTCTAGTTATTAATATAAATTCAAGTTAAATACTTTGATTTAAAGAAAGTTTATAGGGTTAAAAATGATTAAAACAAAACCCCTTAAGTGGAAAATAAGATTTAGCATTTATTAGGGAATGTACTTTAACTTTCAGACATTTTTATTTTAAATTAATAATAAGAGGCTGAGAGAGGGAAGAAAAAGAAAGAAAGAAAACACATTAAATTTTAAGGAACTATATTCCTTAATAATAAAAAACTATTAAGATACTTGTTTACAACTTTTTATGACGAATATATTTTTAACATGACACTTACTATTTACAATTAATACACAATCAATTAACAATCAATAAAATTTACATTACTTTACGAAACTTATCTTGATTAAATTTTTTATACAGTTAAAATTTAATGATATACAAATCATTTCCCAGCATATAATCATAAATGATATAAAATGCTCCAAGAAGGTAGAAAATGGTTTAAAAAATTTCTTAATGGTTATACTGTAATTTGCAAAATTTTTGAATATTGTGATAATTTTATCTACTTGATCATGTGATATTTTTTGAGCCATTAAATGAAAATGTAATGATTGTATTTAAAGACTACTCTGTAATTTTGAACAGGCCAAATTCATTCTGGAAAACAGTCTTTCGACAGAAGCTGTTGTTGTGGGTAGTATTAAACTTAGAGCAAATAACATAATCAGTTTTGGAATTTGTCCTAGATGGTGTTCTTCCTTTCTGGGTTTTTAAATCGCGGAAATACAAATAGCGATGTGTTATTTTTTAATTGCTTGAATACGAATTGCTATGTGTTATTTTTTAATTGCTTGAATACGAATTGCCATGTGTGATTTTTAAATTGCGTAAATAAAAAACTCGATGCTTGTTTTTCAAATCGCGTGAATACGAATCGTGTGGCTTTTAAATTGCGAAAGGACTACTCACAACACTTGATTTTTAAAATGCATGAATATGAATCGCGATATATGGTTTTTAAAACGCGTGCATATGAATTGCGAGAAAAGTAGCAACGGATGATATTTTAAACGCCAGAACACGAATCGCGATATGTGATTTTAAATCCCGTAAATACGAAACGCGATGGATTATTTTTAAATCTCGTTAATGTTAATACGAAATGCGATGCGCAATTTTCAGATAGCGTAAATACAAATTACGATGTATGACTTTTAAATTACATGTGACAACAAAAAGAATAGGTTCGATGTGTGTTGTTAAACTTGCACGTGTTCATGGGACTAAAGAATTATGCCATGTTTTGAATTTTTTTTTTTTGCAAAACGGACCGCGTTTAATATAAACACATCTCGGTTTTTTTTCCTGGGAAGGTGTTGATTTGGCTAAGATACGTAATTACTTTTTAAGTTACGAAAAAAAATTAAAGCTGAATCGAATTTCACGAGTTGTAATATTGTGTGAAAATATCAGGTATATTCTAAATCACAAATAAAAATGCAGCAATAACGGGAAAGAAGAAAAAACACTTTCGAAAAACCTCTTAAAAAATTCGTGTTAAAATCGGTACAACGCAAATGATAAAATCGGCACAAACAGAGCACGTAAAAAATAATTATTTTAATGCGCAATTCAAAACTCGCTTGCTGTCAAAGTATTAAAAATATCATAATCTTTTTAAATCACGGGGAAAACGTAATAACTACTAAAACAATAACCAAAATACTTTAATATTTCAGATGAAATTGGAGTAAATAAAGTCCATCAAAATTTTATGTAATTTAAATGCGAGATTTGAAATTAAAATGTCGCAATAGCGTATAAAAAATATCGGTACTTTCAAAACCTTGTAGAAATGTGTAGCAATAATTTCTAAAGTAACGATTGCAAAATAATTTGATTTGCGATAAAATCGTTACAAATAAGCCATGTCAAAAAATGGTTATCTAAATGAGCGATTCTTTACTCGCGATTCGTAATAATATCGTGCTAAAATATCGAAGTTTTAAAAACCGGGCGGAAATGTGCAGCAATAACTGTTGAAGAAAGGATCTAAAGTCATTTAGATTTTCCATGAAGTTTGCACAAATAAAGCGTTTCATAACTTTCAAAAATCGCTATTTCAGGTACTACTTGAAAATGGGTAGCAATAACTACCGAAAGTCATTGGATTTACGATGAAATCGGCACGTACGAAAGGCGTCAAAAGTGGTAATTAAAATTCGTAATAATGATGTATTAAAAATATTGGGATTTTTAAAACTATGCTAAATCCGTAGCGTTAACCATCGAAAAACTACATTGATTGAGATTGCGTGCGACAAAAACTTAAGTGTAAATTTAAATTACCGAATTTTTTTATTATTTTTCAAAAGCAAATATTTGATTTTTTTTTTTCTTCTTCATTTTGCTCAGATTGCGGTCGCGGGCCGCACATCGAGGGTTGGAGGGCCTCATTTGGCCCGCGGGCCGCAGGTTGAGCACCCCTAACTTAGTCTTTTGTAAAGTTATTAGCTAGATAATTATTAATAAAACAAAATCATAAAATATTTCAAAGAAAAAACTAATATCCTAAAGAAAGAAGGTCAACATACCATCAGTAGATTACATTATGTCTATGACTAAGGAAGTTAGCCTTCTTCTCATATGTATTTATATATACTTTGGCTAAGGTTTGATATCCCTCATTCGCCTTCTCATAGACTAATAAATGTGTTGCATTTTAGTCGCTAACATGCAAGGTATTATAAGCAACATTAAATTAAAACCAAAAAGCAGGGACATTTTGGAATAGCTGTATAATATTTGTAGTAAAAATATTTTATAACAAAATTACCAAATGGTGGGAATACAAGTATATATTCTGCATTGCATTGAGGACATGAAACAGAGGCTGAACTGTTTCCTTTTTGCTTTTCATCAATCCATCGCTGCAAGCAAGTCTGATGAACCCATTTAGTAGTACCTCTACACTTACACGGCTGCACCCATTCAGCATCTCTATCGTCTTCGGTACTTCCAAAGCACACCCAACAGTTTATCCTAAAAAATTTATTTATTACAATATTTCAATGTAAATAGTCCAAAAATATTTTTCCTGAAGCTCTTTTACAGAAGAAAATTTAAAAAAGCCACAGTTTAGGGAGTTTAATTCTAAGAAAATCTTTACTAGCTTATGTATTTCTGTCTGAACTTTAAAAAGAGCAAACAGCTTAAATATAGAGCCTTGATGGCTCGGGGGATAGAGCGTTTGCTTTCCGAGGATGTGAACCAGGTTCGAATCCCAGCGATGGCTAGTTGATACGGGGATATTTCCGTATCGCTAACTACAATCGCCAAGCTGCCAAATAGATTTTAAACTTGCAAATTAAAAAAATAAATAAAACATGTAGATGTTTGCCCGAAGGTGGCTATGAGTTATACCTTTCGAGTTGGTCCCTTTCTGTGCTGTTTTTTTCTTTAGTTTATCATGGGTCACTGCCCGTAAGTTTCCCAGACTTGGCGATTATTCTGCCTCAGATCACGATACAGAAATCTCCCCGTTTAAAAGAATCTGGCTTGCACCCACCACAGTGCTGAAATAAAATATCCTTAGTGGTTGACGGATCATGGGTTAAGAGTCCCCTAGCCGCTAGGCTACCTGTGGGAGGATGCACAAATGCAGGTTAGTTCCATCAAAAAGTCCGTCACGAAGGTGAATTTCTCCAAATACTTGATCCAGGATTTCCCTTGTTTTCTCCATTGAGTTCAAAATTACAAGGCTACGGAGTTGAACATTAGCAGTTCTAAACCCAAAAAAGTGGGTCGGTTAGTCGAAGACGATTATAAAATACTGTTATCATAAATTTTTATTTTTTGAAAAATTAATTTGAAAAAGTAGGTCAATTAAATGTGCCATTGCTTGGTTCTTGTATAGAAGATAGATCATGATTGGTTCTGTATCATGATTTTGAACTCGCTAACTATTTTTTTTTTTCAAATAAAAAAAAAACATGTCACTACTTAGAGTGCTTATGAGTTAACCCTCTTAGGTGATTTTTCTAGTTTCTTGCTGGCCACTGTGCAGAAGTAACCAAGACTTGACGATTATTAGAGGTTGAGATGTTTTTGCTGTAAATAAAAACAATACACCTACTGACCTTCCTACATCTTACGAACCTGCTTTCTTCTTGGTAATTAATTTATTATACTACAGTCAAAACAATCAGTTTTAGTGATAACTGAGTTTACAAGTTATAATATGGACTACATATTGAGAAGATATTTCAGCATCAATTCCGGTTTGCGCCAACTACAATCGCAAAGGCTGCCAAAAGAATTTAAAACTTGCAGAATTATAGAGGGTAAAAATAGAAGTGTCTGTGTATAGATTTGTCAATGGGTGGCTATGATTTATACGCTTTGAATTTCTCTCCTTCTGTGATGTTTTATTTAAGTTTCTCATGGGTTACTGTCTAGAAGTCATTAAAACTTTGTGATCATTTTGGTATAGGTACCTATGAGGAAATCTTTCAATAAGTAGACCAGCAGCTAATGTTCAAGTGTCTCACCAGTCAAAATTTCTAAAAGCCCTGTTAGAATTTTAAATTTTCAAAGAAAGAGGTACAAAATTTAAAAAAATACTTTCAATAAAAGTTTGCTGGTTTAAAATTTAAAATAGATATTTTTTACATATTCCATTATATAAATATTATAGTAAGCACTAATTAGACAATTTATTTACTATAAATGGACAGGAGCAGCTTATGTTTAAATGCATTGCAATTACTCTAAGCCTGTGTGTATTATCATAAGGAAATGAAAGATGCGTAAAGACGTTATGAAAATATATTACATAAATATTTTCATTTTTTATTTTCGGTTCAATTAACCACAAGTACCTCTCTTGTTGACCAGCTTCATCCACGTCAATAGATCTTACTTCCTCTGAAGGAGGAATTGATATAACTTCGCTCTCTTCAGTCATGACTTCTACGGGGGTAATAAAAAAATACTCAATTTAATAAATTTAAACAAATTAATAATTTCTAAGCTGACTAACAAAAATTACACCATGATATTAGAATAAAGTAAAAAAAATTTGTTCATTACATAAAGTTTAAGTATTTATTTAAATTACAAAATCACAGTTCTCATTTCAAGATTAGTTATGTTGCCAGATTTGTGCAACTCAAAAGAAAACTTTTACAGTTATTATTCAAACTAGTATGAACGGATAACACGCGTTTTCTCAGTTACAAGCATTTTGTAGTTTATTTTTACTCAAAAGAAATTCCTCACGTTTAAACGGTTGAAAAAATTATATTGCTAGTTTCTCCTTAAACAGGGTGTTATGAAATAACATTAAAAATAAATTTAGATTAATCCTTATGATTAATTTTTATTACATGAAATAATTAATTTTTATTTAACATCAAATAACTTCCAAATTATTCTAATTTAATCTAAATTATGTCGAATAAAAAAATTTTGAACCACAGTTCAGTCATTTCACTCCTTGATTTTAAAATGTTAGATTTTAAATACGATTTGTCATTCAAATTTTAAAACCTATATCGTTATTTTCTTCAAAATATATAAATTTCTGATAAATTAATTTATATTATAAAAAATCAATAGTTTTGTTGGCAACAGCTTGTACGTAAAGCAAAAACAAAAATATTCCTATCGTTTGGTTTCGGTGTGCTGCTGCAGTGCGCATTTACTCAGGACGGTCGAACGCAGCACATAACATTCTCTGCGGCCGAGAAGAAAAACAGCTGATAAACAAAATAAATAACTACGCTATCACGTTGGCCGTCTGATGGGGGATTATAATTTTGGTGTAAATTCGAGCGTAGCAGCTTTATCTCCTGTCGATTTCCAAACTAATTCCTGCAATACTTCTTTATTTTTCCCAAGCGATCCAGTCTCGCATACGATGCAAGATGATCTCCTGCTTGATAAATCCACCGGTAAACAACTACAACAGCTGTCCCCTTCCAATGATAATACCACAAATGGAGATCAAAATGGGTCCGATGATTATTCTTTAAGAAATAAAAAAAATGACGACTCCGAAACCGACGAAGTTCAGATCGACAAAAAAAGTTTGGACTCATCTTCTCCGGGAACTACATCTTCTCCTTTGCAACTCGGTTTCTCAGAATCATCCAATTCAATTAATATCACATCCACAGCACCAAGTTTTTGGTCTACAGTTGGTACCGATGATTCTTTCGTTCAAGGGATTCCAACTATGAATGGTACACTGCCATTCCAAAACTTTGCATCCTCCACAAATCCAATATTAAGCACCAATATGGGACCTCAGTTAAATATTTCTCAACAACACACACCTCAGAGGCGTGCAATAACCGGTGCTCACAATTTTCCTCAAAACAGGCATCAGCCTCAACCTAATTTATTTAAAGCTTACACAAATTGGAGCAGCCCCCATCAAACTGCTTGGTCAACTCCACAAACACCCAACACCCTATCCGCTTGGAATGCGGTAAACATCTCAAATCATAAAAGGTCCGTGCCAAATATGAGCCCCATCTCTCCCATGAAGAAGACCCAAACAAATGTTGGCCAACATTCTATGGTTATATCACCGTCCAAATTTCGCCGCAGTACATCGATGCCCGTTGGAAAACCATTTCCTCATGGACTTGGAACAAATTCGAATTATGATATTTCTGGTGATGAAAACAGAGATGGAAATGTCATCTTACCTTTTCAGGTAATTTTATATTCATTATTTTGAAGATTCAATCTTCTAAAATTAAATAGTGTTTTCAAAACTGATTAATTTAAAAAATTCTTTACACCATTATTATTCCTCCATTAAACGTTCCTTTTAAAAATTCTTAATTGTAGTAATGCTCTATATTTTTAAAGTATGGTTGAACCTAAAAATATAAAGATAAAATAGGTAATCTTTTTGTTGTGCCAAAAATTAATGAAGACTCAAATGAAGTTATCAAAATTGGAATGGTGTTTCATTTGGAAACAATAAAAAATCTTTCAAAAAATTCTTCTCACTAATATTATTTCTCCATAAAATGTTCTTAAAAACTTATAATTAAAACAAAATAATAATTTGTACTCATTTAATGATAATTTTAATTAAATGTTTTGGAATTTCATGTATGGAATACTTTGGAACTTTTATTGAAGTAATTGTATTACAGATTAATAGGGATTTAAAACTCAATTGATAAAATAATTGTAAGTGTGAAAAAAAATTTCTTTTTTTATTAAATTCTCTCTATAAATTATAATGGAATTGAAAAGAGAAAAACAATATAGAATTTTTCTGTGTTGAAAATAGTAGAGTCGGGTGAAAATGATGCTCAATTTTGGATCCTCAAATTTTGGATGGTGTTTACATATGGAAACTGATTATTTTAAAAAATTCTTTTCATTAGTATTATTTCTCCATAAAATGTTTTTTCTATAAATTTATAATTGTAAGGAAATAATGTAGTGTATATATTTTATCCCAAATTTTATTTGATATTTGGAAGTTATATTCATAAATTATTATTGTGTTTTTCTCAATGTAATAATAGCACAGTTTAAAAGAATTCATAAACTCAATAAAGAGAATTGGTATTATTAGTAAAGTTTTTTAAGGAATTTAGCAAAAACTGATTAAATATTTTTTCTTCTTCAGAAAATGGTTTCTTTTTAGATAATAACTTAATACAGAGTTCACATGACCTAGAAAAACTAAATCAGTTGTAGCTAAGATTTTTCTGGACTACTGAAAAATGCTTAAATTTAACTATCATTTGTGACTTAAGAAATTATTCCCAAGTTATTTTTTTTTTGCTTCCAAATATATTTTTAAATTAATTGCTAAAATTAATAGCTTAAAATTAATAGTTAGAGACCTAGATAAATCTCACTTTAGCTACCAAATTTTCCAGACCATGGGAACCCTATTTATATTATTTGATTAATATTTAATAGCTATTATCTCATCATTTATTTTTAGCTTTTAAATAATTGCTAAATATGGTACATGGTTAGATAATTGATGAAGATCGTTAATCAGAGAATAGAAATAACTATAATTTTTATTTCTTAATAAATTAGTCCTTTTTTTAGTATATACATAGGCTTAGAAATTTATTTTTTTATACATTGCTTTTTGAATTAGATCATTCTTTTTACTCTTGTTATAAAATAGGTTTTATTTTATCAATTTATTTCACTGTTTGTTAAAAGTATAAGTTTATTAAAAAAATTTAATTTTCATCTTTCTAATCTATGACTTCATATCAATTATTTATTTTTAACATTCTCATAATTAAAAAGACAATCATTGCTTTAAGAAGTTTTCACTTGTAATAAAAAATTGTTTTCATTATTATTAAAATATTTTTATATGTTTATAAAAAAAAATTCTTCCTATATTACACCAAAACATTTAAATTTTTTAAAAAATTTATTATTTTATTTAATTATTTAGGAACCTTATATTATATTTAGATAGGTTTAGTTATTAATTCCTCTGCTAAAATTATTTTAATATTTATTTGTTATTTCACTAACTAAATTAAATCAGGTTGATGTTTTAGCCTCTAGATGTTTTAGCTCAAGAAGAAACCTAAAGCAATAAAGGCTTACACTTTATTTTTAAAATTATGTTCTTAAAATTTTTATTAATTAAAAAAAAAGTAAAACTGTTCTGTTAGCAACTGAAACAGTTAAATAATTTTTTAGTTTGTTTATTTTTTTTTAATTTTCTATTGATTTAACTTTGTTTAAAAAATGGTTTTAACTTTTACAATTTTAACAAGTTTTTTTTCGTTTCAATAAATCAAATTTCCGATATGAAGAGACGAATTGTTTATTTTAAATTGTAAACTTTTATTTATTTATTTATTGTCCTGATTGATCCATTACCATAACCATTTTCTATAAGAACTTGCTGTTCAAAAACTATTAAAATGAGAAATGCTGTGTGAAGGTAATAGTTGATATTTCGTTTTTGTGTTGGTAATTTATATGTTTATTTTATACTGTATTGAATTCCATTCTTTTTTTCTTTTTTTACAAACAAAACCGCGATTATGCAAACATTACAGCAATCTAGCTGCAGCTAAATTCGTTTTTCAGTTCTAGCCAAAAACTTCAAATAAAATCTGTAAAAAAAAATAGTGTTTGTTTTAGGATAGCAATAGGGTTTTAGGATAGCAATAGGAGTTTTGAAAACAGAATTGAAACTTGCGATGTAGCGTGATTTACCGCCATATCGTCTGAAGAACAAAACTAATTCTGCATGCACTGCAGGTTCCACAAGAACGCGAATCAATATTTCTACAGTCGTGTCTTAGAAAAATTACAGAAAGCGATATTTTACTTAGAATGCATTTGAATTAAACATTGATGGAAATAAAGTAAAAAAAACGGGTAAATTGATTTTTTATAGTAGCTTAGTATAAACTAGTGGTAAATTATTGAATTCTATTTCCATAATAACTAACTTTAACTAGTCGAAAAACATTCCTTTTTTTTGCAAATTTAAACATAATTTTATTTTTAAAAGCAAAATTAGCATTGAAATTCGAACAAAAATTCACCGTATAAATACTCAGAATCCTAAGCAATCGACATAATTTAATTTTTTTTCTGATTACGTAACTTGTTTGAAAAATATAAAGCTTTTGCATTATAATTTTTGGATGAAAAAATTGCTTTCAAACCTAGTTAAAGCAGCAGATGTTATTTTTTCTTCCTGTCACTTATCTGTTATGATAGCGAAATCCTAGAACAAGAGCTGAAGCGTTATCATTGGAGGAACTTCCTTTCTTTTCCTGAGGAGGATTATTTTAAGTGCGTTAAGAGGAATAACTAGGATTTTGCTGCAAAAACATCGTTTTAGCCCAAGACCTGATTACGCTCTCATTTCCATTTATGGGAAGTGGATAACAGAGATTTAAGTAAGCTAATAAAAATTAATCTCTCTTAATCTTCAGATTTGTTATCTTATAAGAAAATTAAATTAAAATAGTGATTTGTTAATTGAATCATTGAATCAGTGTGCGAAAAAGAGTTAGTTAACTTCTATGCTGATATTTATTTTTAGATGCTTTAAAGTCCTTTAAATGCCCAAAATCAAGGCAGGGGAATTCTAAGAGCAATCAGTAATTATAATTTTTAAAACTGTCTTTACCAATTCAAGGACGCGTGTTTATTAAATGGATACATATTTATTAAATGAGTTTTGATTAAAATAATAATTATTTGTATACGTTACGTGTGAGCTAAAACGGATGATTTTCTCTTTTATAATTGCTTCGTGTGATAGGTGGTTAAAACCAAAACTTGTGAAATTCTTTTAATTGTTTTAGTGACAAAAATTGTGTTTTTATATTTTTCTTCTGCGAAATTCAGGAATTTTTCCAAATGATTACCATACACTGAAAATTGAGAATTGTTTTGACGTCTTTTACACCTGCTCTAATACCAGAGTAAAGTTTTTAAACTTTGCTAATGAGACGTGTTTATTTTACTTTACCTTCGTATTAATTTTTTAATTTTCACTTCCGTTGGTTTTTCTTTATTCGATAGAGTTTAGAATAAGTTAAATATCAATTCCATTTTTTTAATATTTACTTCTGTGTTCACATTATTAATAAAAAATGTATAAATATTAAGTTTTAAGAATAATCTTATTTTCCCAAATTCAAATGAATCTGCCATCGTGATCTCTCAACTTTTAATTCACATTGGGATTGTTGTCTTTTTAGCTTTGTTAATGGTTAAATATGTTGTTTAATTTGATAGTTAAATATTCAGTTAAAATCGAAGTGTAGACAATTGCAGAGTGAGGAATTTCGAAATACTATGGATAAACAGTACTTTCTTATTTAATGACTAATATTTTCCTAATGTTTGAAGAGTTTTATAATCATTTACACAATGGTAGGATTGAGCAATCTCTTAAGGTTAATTATTTATATTTAAACGCAGTATTTGAAAAGTCTGAACAGAACTTGAAAAACAAGCAACGAAGCTTGCATAATATTTCATAATTAAATTTGTGATTTTAGAAGGTTAAACTTTTTTTTGTTAAGAGTTTGCCAATTTCTGCCATTGGAAGAAAAAAAAAAAATTTTTTTTAAGCAAATTTTTTTCCTCATTTTTATACTATTTTAAAATTCTAAATTATATAATTTCTGCTTGGCTTTCTTTTTGATTTCTTTTTTGTTTCATTTCATAAATTATTTTATGACTTGTATAGATTGTTTTCTTTATGAAACATCAAATGGAGATAAGACTTTTTCGAATAAAATTTCATTGCTGTATTTGACATATCTTTGAGGTAATTAAGGAAAACGGCATTAAAGTATTTTATTATAAAAATATTTTATTTAAAATTTCTTTTCAATCCTGAACATTCGAAAGCTCTTCAACTGAAGTATGTATTTTTAGAAACCAATTTTTCACTTCGCTTAACTTAATTTGTTATAATTTAAACAATTATTTTTATTTTAAGAACATCAAATATTATATAAAAACCAATCAAGTTGTGATTTTTATAAATCCTTTTTGAACACACAGTATTTGCATTCTTTCTTTCTTTTTTTTACATTAACAAAATTTTCTTTTCAATTATATAGTATGGGTTAAAATTCTCCCCTTTTCTAAGATGAATTATTCTAATGCATTAGATATCTTAATAGGTCGTGAAAGATTTTAGAATTACTTTTAGAATATTTCTGATAA